GGGCCGCGGATCTCAAGCATTCGAAGGATCTATCTGCTGGGCGGCACCTGAGATCATGGATCCCACTCTCTCTGTCGTTAAGAACGCGAAGGCCAGCGATATATACGCTCTCGCCTGTACGATATATGAGGTATATATACATCCTTTCTCTACTGATCGCCATTTTCATCAATTATCGATCAGATTTACACAGGAAGGCCACCCTTCTTGGACAACCACAGAGCAGCTGCCACGATCATGCTTGCCGTACTGCGCGGAGAACGGCCTTCTCTCCCGCCTCCTGGTAACTGGACAAGTGAAGAAGATCAGCTTTGGTGGCTTGTTGATCTCTGTTGGAAACACAGGCCCGAAGATCGACCAGAAATGCGTTTGATAAAACACACACTGCGAGATATCGGTATGCCAGACAAGAAAAGTCTACTAGCATGGGCGCCTTCTTTGGTCGCAGAAGCCACTGCTTCTGCAGCGGATTTCAGAGAGATCCAGGAATGGTTGGAAAAGGAATATCATCATGCTGTATGTCTCTCTCTCTTTCCGTCCTTTTGATCATGGTATTCAAATCTAGTTTTCGCAGACGTTTAGCACTTCTTCTCCCGACCTTCCTCTCCCCGTTCTGGTAGTTCAAGCCCCTGCAAGACCTAAAGGTTCTTTATCGGTCACCTCTGCGAAATATCGTCACGAGTCTGGGAACCCTCTTCTTATCGACCAAATGGGTAACTTTTGGCTCCTAGGAGTTAAGTATCCAGCCTTCGAGCCCGACTCTCTGCCTACTTTCCGCCAGTATGGGTACCCGCGAACTGGAGAAAATGTACCGCCCGGGTTCTATGCCGACTTTACATCGCGGATATGGCTTACTTGTCGATCCAACTTCCCTATCCCAATCCGAGACGTATCCCTGGCCAATATATGCAGAGCTGAACCAGTTGGGAGCGGCCAGCAAAGTTTCGGACGGAGTCCTTGCAGGGGCGAGAAGACACGATCCAGTGATTCAAGGTGGGGCAGTACGATAAGGACTAGCCAGAGCTTGCTCGCTAATGCTCTTTTAATCGTACATCTTGGAAGAGGTAAAGAGCACTCGACTCTCTAAATTCGGCCGATCTCATGCATCGTTACTCAATACCTTTTATTGTTATTTTCCTTTGTGAATTCAGATTGGCGATGTCCACCTCATCAAGTTCAAACTGCGGATTATGCCAAATATGTGGAGATCATAACTTGGTTTCTGGATACACTCGCACCAGCGGCGCCGTTCAGTGTACACCGTATGACATCGACTGTGAAACATCTTGGATGGGGCGTCGGTCAATGGCTTGGGTACAGCGCAGCTTTTCATGCGATCAAGTGAGCTTATCCCGATTTCCGTTAGTATCGTGAATGCTTGTACTTCTGTTTAACCTTTTTTTTAATCAGAAAGCTTGCCAATGTATTTCCAGCTTGCGGATTAGGTGTTTCGATTGCAACAGATAGCACCCTGTATGAGATTGAAGTCTACGCAGCGTCACACAAGGGCGGCAGTAGCGATTCTCGCTCTCAACAATTCCCTACAGCGTGGGGTGACCGACCTGTACTACTTCTCTTACCCATCCGATTGGGTATCGACGAAATTAATCCCATTTATTATGATACTATCAACGTAAGTCATGCACCGACAACATCACCGACAACACTGAAACAACATAATAATCCAGCTTCTGTATACATTCCCACAGTCCCTCGGTATAGCTGGAGGCACTCGGCCTGGACGGTCATATTATTTCTGTGGTTCTCAAGACCACGATCTCTTCTATCTTGATCCTCACATCACCCAACCCTCCATCCTATTTCGCTCTCCTCCTCAGACTGACGACTCTAATAAATGCGCCAATCCATCGCATTCTAATTCTCGCATTCAACCAACGTCTATAAATCATTCATCTTCTGAGATGGGCTATCGGAAGAAGTTGAAAGCGAGTAGCGAGGATCACGGCGAGGCCAAGAACGCTAGTGAACTGGATCCTACGCAATTGCACTACTGCACCGCATACCCAGCAGAGGACCTCGAGACTTTCCGCTGCGGCAGTGTTAAGAAGATGGCTATGCACATCTTGGAGCCAAGTATACTCATTGGATTCCTGTGTCGCGATGAAAAGGACTGGGGTGACTTTAAAAAGAGAGTCAGCGATGTAAGTCGTCCAGTTTGCAATTCTTCAACAATGATTTACCGACCTTGACAGCTTCCTCGGTCGATACTCTCGGTTAACAGCAGGCCACCCTCTATAATCAGTGATTACGAGGCCAATATGGGATTTACATCAGTCTCGAGGCAGACTGCTACCCTCGGTCCTGAGTTGGATGACTCCGATCAATTATTTGTGCTCCGTCGGGCCCCCACACATCTTGACGATTCGCAGAGCGCCAACCAAATCTCTTCTGGACGTCCGTCACACAGAGTCGCTGGAGGCTCACAGAAAAAACCCATGAAAGAAGAGCCAGATGAAATGACACCTCCGCAGGAGGAACATACTGGAGCGCCTCAGAAGACTCCATCTACCTTAAAGATTGCCCATATTTCAACGTGGGCTTCAAGCCCCTCCGACAGTGATGATTCTTCTCCGTTCTCGAGTTCAGGCTTGTATTCTGCCTCTCCTGTTCTGAGGTCATATACGACTCGCGAGCGTACTTTTGATACAAACGTTAATCCCGTCAAGTTCGTGATCAGGAAGAAGATGCGCGCTAGACGAAAGAATCACCATGTGCTCTCGACGTCAGAATCGTCTCCGAAATTCGACACCGACTCTCCATCACTTCCCTCTGAATGAATATGTATTCTCATTGTAGCCCCAATTGTTTAGTTGAATTAACAAGACTATGTATTACTATTTTTCCCTTCTCGTATTTACTATCAATCAGGGCACAAGTTCCTCAACAAGGGATAGACCTCGTCGCTGTATACAAGCTTGAAGTACATACGAACGTTATAAATTTCACAGCTAGTATACATACTGAATTAAAGCTTCGACTGCGAAAGCTAGGTGTAAATTGCCAGACATTCAAGCAATCTAGTTGTGCGCGCTCCCATACGAGGCACGTTAATTTGAGGCTGATATGTACATTCTGGGCGCTTACCAGGTCTCATGCGACACTCGGGTAGCATCTTGTAATCGGCCCCCTTCAAAAATTTCATATTGCAAGGCGTAAGTGGCACAAGTATCAGTACAATATACAACCCCCATAAGATAGCACAATCCCTATAAGATAGCAATTCTTTCCTTCTCACTAGACTTCCAGCGAGCGTACCTTCACTTCAAAAAGTTCAAAGATCCAATTGCAAACCTGTTGCAGGACGCTTCCAACCAAGGAGCGTTGACCCAGTCCATCCCTCGCTCTCGATTTCACAGCAGAAATTAGATCATCACCAAATCAAATACTCAGAAACCTCGGCCGCGTCCCCTTCCTCTGGCCCTGCCCCTCCCCCTGCCTCTCGGGACTCCATCATATGGAAGAGGGTCAGCTCCTACAGGGACGCCCGCTCCCGCCCTTCCACCACCTCGGCCGTTGGAGCCCATACGAGCCCCATCAAAATCCATAGGGCGCATTTCTGGGCGCACCACGCCACCCGGCACGGAGCCGCCTCTTCCCGCTGGATATGTGGCACCTCCTCGAGCACGACCCCGTCCTCTACCTCCGCGACCGTTAGGCAGGAACCCGCCGCTCTTCCCTCCCCTTCCGAATCTAATGGAGTTGGGCACGAGAGAAAGGGAGTCGAGAGAATTAGTCAGACCAGCTATGCCTGAGTTGTCGTTGGCGATCGAGGTTGTATTAGCATTCGCGTTGTTGGTGCGGTGATGGTAGTGGTGATGGTGGTTATTGCTGTTTGACGACGATATGGAAGACCCGGGCGAGTGAATGCCCGTTGTTCGTGGAAGCATGCGTGGTGTAGCTTCGAGATCGGCTGGCTCCTCTTCGTCTTCGTCTACTTCGTCCTCTTCATCCATCTCATCCTCGTGTTCGTCCTCTTTGTCGACCTCGTTTTCTTCACCCATCTCATCATCTTCCTCGTCCCTGTACTTCCTCATATCCACATCTCCATTTCCAGGGGGCTTTCCCTCTCTTGGTTTCCATTCCTTTCTAACCATACTCGCTCCCTCACCCCATTTCTTCAACAAGCCCCCAATGCCTTTATTGGTAACGGCGAAGAAGTATTCCTTAGGGAAGGAGTGTGCTTGGATGAGATGTAATCTTCTCGCTTTTGGAGTGAGGAAATTGCGGCCACATGTTGGGGCAGGTAAGTGGCACTGAAACTAAATGAAGATGCGGGTCAGAAAACGTGAAGCGAAGAAAATTCGACGTACAATTTTCTCGCCGCGTTCTTTTCGAAGCGCTGCTAAAGGATCGTGACATTCCGTTTGATGCTAGGAATAGAAAATATATCATGAGCTTCAAGCATTCGTAGAGGTGAGGAAAACAGTGAATGACACACCAGCTCCAGCAACCTCGCGTCCGGAAAGACACATCCACAGCTCTTCTCTTCACACACATGGGCGTGATATGTAGCATAGTGCCTCTCTAACTCGTTTGTGTTCGCAATCGGAGTAGGCTGGCGGTGGCACGTTGGCGGCAAATTGCATAATAATGGATGCGTAGAAGCAGTGGCGACCGAACCCCCTTGTTTCACTGTACTACCGCTCGAGGTAGATGCAGTGGACGTATCATAAGAAGAGGAAGAGGATAGAACGACGCGAGAGGCTTTGTGTGGCGGGTCCGTGGATCCAGTCGAGGTGGTGAGAGACGAGGAAGAGGACGGTGTGCGCGGACGTTTGGCCGATGTTGCACTCTGTGGTGTCATATTGCTCAGACTAGATGGTGGAATATTCGAAAAGCTAGTCTCAGCGCTCACAAGGGAAAATGGAAAAGGAAGAGTTGACGAGCATCATGGTCAAGTCAAAAAGCCTCTCTTCGTGGGCGCCAAATCCGAAGAAATATTTCCAGATGAGTAAATCTTTTGTTCATCGTATAATATGTGCCCCATGGCTGAGTTGGTTACAGCGTCCGACTGTTACGTTATCTAATTACGTCATCGGAAGGTCATGAGTTCAATCCTCATTGGGGCAGGTATATTTTGACATTGGTCGGTGTTCGATTGACTTTTGGTGCTTTTGTTGGCCCTTGTTTACCGAAGCCATCAGCGCAGTGATGTGCGTATGGACTTTAAAAAAGTGGATTTTACATACCCCTCTGCTATTCAAGATTTTTGGTAGAATTCATCATAAAGGTATACTAAATGCATTCCGAGTATTTTTATGCAAAGTTGGTTGGCCTGCATAGCGTGGTGATACAAATTAGCTCAAGGGCACTTGACAATTCAAACTCCGCTTGAAAGGACGGTGTCGCTGGTTAGTCGTTTAGTATCACTTGCGATGTTGTTACTTATCGGCCTCAGCTTTCGATCCTATCTTTTACTTGCATCATTTTAACGTCGACAGGATGCTCGCTCTTTGATCTGCCTTAAATCCCGGTGTCGGACAGTCTGTATATTCCATGACTGCTCCTCTTTCCCGGCTGTCCCTTGCTCTTAGCCTCTTCCTCCAGATGGTTCTATGCCTCCTGACGAAGGACCATGGGATTGGACCGCCCAGATACAAGTCAAGAAATACGAACTCGGATGCAGTTTCGCGGTCTTCCTCTTCCTCGGTGGAGTCCTCGAAGATCCAGCACGATGGCCTCTGCACCAGGAATATGTCGGGGCCTGTTTTGAGCTGGTGACGAAGACTGCGAGAATTGTGCTCACTGCAGCAGGCAAGGCGACGATGCAGACGAACGAGGGTTCGTTCAACCTGGCCACGCAATAATTCAACATTCACAGCAGCGCTCCTTGAGCCCTGAATTTTTTGTCAAATATTTGACGGATAATTTGCAGTGGTGCATACCGAAGGTTCGTTATCTTCACGTCTCCGTGTTTGCAGGTAATTGGGACTGACGAATGTAAATCAGATAGATGGATCTCTGGCTTCTCTCTAGTCGCTCGAGGTTGTCGTCTTCGCTATGCCTTTAAATTACCCGCCAGGTGCACTTTTTGCAGTGGAAGGAGAGCAAGGAAAGCTGTGATTTTCACAGCTATTAGATAATGTCAGGCCGGTAAATATGCCAGAGAGGGTGACAGACGTTCATACAATTCCAAAATGTTAGAGTGCTTTTCTGGAATAGAATACTCTCTTGATGCTAATGGTGTCTGTTCGACGTTGGAACTCATAACCTTTCGATGTCGGTGTGTAACAGTTTAACAGGTAACAGGATTCACTTGCTGCGCAATCGCAAAATCAACAATTCTTTTCGCCGCGCTAACCTTTCGATGTCGGTGTGTAACAGTTCAGGTAACAGGATTCACTTGCTGCGCAATCGCAAAATCAACAATTCTTTTCGCCGCGCAATCGCGAAGTCAAATACAATCACTGCGCAATCGCAAAGTCAAACATTCTATTATGCTACTTCATCCTCATCGATCCACTCTTCTTCGCCTACATCGCTAACTTCAGGGTCTTGACTGATTGGATACTTTGCCATGCCATTCCGAATGAAATCCTGGATAAATCCTATCACTTGGCATCGTTTGCCCTCAGGCCACTAGCAGAGTGTGTAAGCCTGGAAGATGAAATGTGAAAAGAATAAATACCTCGTGAGTAAACACCGACTTTGCAACTTGAGCCACCCTCGCCTTTTTCGCCCTCTGTGTTCCTGGGTGCTCAGATTGAAACTCGACAATCACCTCCTTGTGTGACACCTCCATAGCACGATGCTCGACCCGCCTTGGGCACCGATCGGAAACAGCATGAGTGCGAACAAGGTCGACAGACTCGCCATCAAACTGTCCACAAGGGCAGTGGAATTCTTCGGAGCCCTCTCGAACCATGTCCAGCTCGAGGTCTTTCCATGCTGAATGTGATTGCGCACTATGACAAAAAAAAAAGTCAGGATAAAAAACACATGTGAAAGAATTTCAACACCTACAAATGCCGTCGCATCTTGTACATTGTAGGGAAGACGGACACCTTCACCTCGCGATGGGTGTACCTTGTGCAGAAAGGGCATCGATAGCCGGCAGGCATTCCGTGAGCAATTTCTTCAGGAGTGACCTTGGGGGAAAAATGTGAGCGCACATCAAGGGAAAAAAAGGATAACAAACTTTTGTCCTCTCAAAGGCTTCCTGATTCATGATTGGAGTTAGCAGGTAGTCAAGGAATGCTCGACCAACATCTTGTCGAGGCAACTTGAAGACGTCTGTCTCCTGAGATTCATCCACGTCTTGCGACGCACTTGTCATCCAGTCAGGATCTTTGCTTGGTGGTGGAGCCTTGGTGGCTGCATCGAGAGAATTTCCTCCTTTCCGACCTGCCTCCTTGCGGCAAGTTCCAATGAAGAGGTTGACAGCCTCTGGAACCTCACAGAATTCGTCGGCGTCTTCAATTCGGTGTTGCGCAGACATTAATTCTATTTGTTGCTGCCATTGCTTGGGGTTAGTGAAAGGGTCAGCGAGCACAGGATCTTGAACTGGAGGGGGTTTAGCCAAATCCAAAAGTTTATTGCGCCAATCTTGGTCAGTGGTGGGTGCATCCGAAGAGTCTGCTAGAGAGTTAGCTACGGAAATGATAACAGTAATGAAACTTACTACGGGCAGCTCGTATGGCTTCGAGGAGCTGTACTGGCACCTGTTGTGCTTCTTCGATGGCCTTTTGGCGCTGTTCAACAGTGCCAGTGAGGGCACTGTGACCCATATCGACGGTGGATTTGTATTTTTCTTCAGCTGTAGCCTTGCGTCGAAGCCGTTTCCTCGCATTGTTAATATCCTCAAAGGCCTTGGTCACACGGAGGTGCATCTGACAGTGTTTGTGAGACCAGGCCATACAAAACTAGAGTCTGTACACACCATCTTGGCCTCAACTGATTTACCTGGCAAGAACTCGACAGGCATGCTGTTGTCCTTGGGTACAGTCTCGCCAATGGCGCGCTTTAGTATGCGGTTGATTTGAGCCTGCTCTCGCTGGTAAGAGCGAGCCACAGATGTGAAACATGACAGGTAGGCATCGATCAGATGGTCGAGGTTCTCCTGGAGGGCAACCATTTCTGGCATTTGCTGTTTAAATTGGTAAGATGGAGCATCCAGGGATCGTCAAATTACCCACCTCTACTTGGTTGAATAGAGCTTTTTTTGCATTGGCGAGGTCCAATGGGGTCTGATTCTGCATACGAACCAGACTCTCGACCGCAGCTGAAGCATAAGCATGCCGTTCAAAATTCGACTGAAAGAGTCTAGTATCAGCATAAATCAAATGATAGGTGTCATTTTTACCTCTAGCACTTCACCTGGCCTCGACTCTTTCGTGCCCCTGATTTCTCCAGTGCGAAGTCCGACAACAGCCATGTTGTTGGTATTGCGTGAGTAGTGTCGACGAAGGACACCGTCGTTGATAGAGTGGTGGTTGCAAATGTCCTTTGCAAACTGAAGGCCCATGAGCAACGAGTACTGTGAGCCAACATCAGCGGTGTTATAAGAACAGAGGTGAGTCGCACTTACTAAATTTGTGGATTCACGTCGTATTGCATAAACACCTACGGCGGGCAAGCCAGAAGCCTTGGCCCAGGTGGCAAGTGTGTCCGAAGTGGCCTTGGCAAATGCAGCTTCTGCAGTAAAGCTGGTACCGCCTGGTCCAACAGCAAGAAACCTAGATGGGCATTAAGCAAATCAGATGGGTATGGGTTCTACCAGAGATGCTTACAGAGGTTCGCCCATCTTGTCCGCAAGTATCACGAGTTCACCAACGGGATCCGCAAGAAGGTCGGACATGCTCTGTGAGATGTATGAGCCCAGAAACAGCATATGCATTAAGAGTTGCTCACCGCATAATTTCCGACGAAAGCGCGTCTGTAGAACAGCCAGGCGAGGAACCAGAGCACAGGGTCGAAGAGTGTGTTGTGAGCGTATTGGACATTGTCAAAAGTGAATATCTGTGTTTCCACTTGGGATGCTCCAATAGTACCCTAAACGAAGCATTAATAAGGCAGAAAAGATAAAGCGCATCGAGCACAAACCTTGAATTCTTCAAGACTAATTTGTATACGGTAATTCATGTCACCGACATGGAACACGCGGATGTTGCCGAGTTTTATAAACTGATCTGATGAGCAAGAAAAAATGAGATAAAAAAAATCTCAACATACATAGCGAAGTTCCATCCACTTCTTGTGGGTTGGACCAAGGGTGGATGGCCGACAGGTACAATAGAATGTCATAAGTAATCTACAGACCCCTTGGATCACGACTGCTCGAGGTGTGCCCTCGAATTGTGTTTTTGCGAGCATAGTCTGGAAAATGCGTTGAAGCTCTGGGCGCCCATAATAGTGTTTGGGATCAAATGTTCGTTCGAGTCCACGCTCCTGCGAAACTTGAACCTAGTTAGAACACAACAAGAAGAGCTAGAAAAGGAGCTTACGAGCGACAACTTGATCCTCAAGTTTGGTAAAGTAGCCGTGTTGAGTCAGGAGGACCATCCCGAGCTTGTTGCCAGTTTCGGGATCGCGTGTGTATGTCACAATGCAATAGACGAGAAGCTCCAGCCACTTGCTGACAGTGGCGCCCTTGAGCGCCTTGTGCCCTCGTCTTGGAGGTGTCGTGTCAATCTAGTGCATATATGAGCATGGTTGTCACATAGAAAGGTAAAAAGCATACTAGAAATGGAAGAAACAGGAGGGCATTGCCCTTGACAATGTCGAAATGCCAGTAGGACTCCTGGGAGAGTTCAGGACAGAAGATGCAGATAAAGACTGCCCATCGAGCGGCAATTCTGTCTCGATGGGCTTTGGTGATAGGCGACTCTTGACTGGTCACGGTTTTTGACCATTTCTCATACCGCTCTTTGGCTAGCGCGATCTCGATGGGTGTGGCAGCGCCTGTGGTAGCCTGAAGATTTTGTCGAGCCTTTTGGACGGCCGCAGAGTTGGTGAGGTTCACATGCGGCGCCTGGCGAGCCTGTCCAGACGGGCCTGCAGGAACCACATCTGATTGCCCTTTGGCTGCTGATCCACCCTCACGCTGTGCCTTGCGGAGGGTATTTGATAGT